TCTCCGTGCTGCTCAGCCCCAGCTCTCGGCCTGTCCTCGCAGGGAGGGCTTCCATCCCTGCCGCCATTTCTGTGTCCCTCCTCTGGCCGCGCTCCAGCAGCTCCCCGTCTCTCCTGCCCTGAGGACTCCACCTGTGGACGCAGTGCTCCAGGTGAGCTGTCACAGCGCACAGCTTTGGTTGCAGCCCAGGGTCTGCTTGGCTTTCTGTGCAGTGAGGGCACACACAGAATCACAGAATGGCCAGGGTTGGAAGGGACCTCAAGGATCACGAATCTCCAACCACCTGCATGCAGGGCCACCAACCTCCACATTTCACACCAGCCCAGGCTGCCCAGGGCCCCATCCAGCCTGGCCTTGAACGCCTCCAGGGATGGACGGGGCACCCACAGCCTCTCAGCAGCTGTTCCAGCACCTCACCGCTCTCTCTGTAAAGAACTTAACACACCTTCCCCCCATGCCCCCCTGTGGGCGTTGTGGTGGGGTGGAGGAGGCTGTTGTTGTTGGGGAGCCTCAGCCCCGTGTTTCCGCTGCCTGACGAAGCTCCGCTCCTCACGATCAGAGCTCTCCCCGCCTCCTCTCCCCTGAGCAGCACACAGAGCTGCCGTCGCTCTGAGCCATGTGGAACGGACGGGCCCTGGGCACCTGGCTGCTGCTTGCCATTGTGGCTGTGGCCAAGTTGGGCGTCCATGGTAAGTCCCAAAGGCATTGGGGGCTGCCCACTGATTGCTGCCAGTGGAGCACAGGGGACGTGGGGATGGCAAAGGGGCCAAAGGAGCAATTCTGTGGGGTTTTTTTGCATGGTTTTCCTTAGGAATACTTGTTTCCGCTATCATCCTCCATGTTTTCTTTTGCCTTGCTCCTGAGGTTTTGCTCCTGACTTTGCATTTAAGGGAAAGGTATCACTCGCTGTCAGAATGTCTCTCTCGTAGTGGCACTCTGTTAGCGATGTGCTCTGTGTGCACCATCATCCTCACGTGTGTGCAGACTGAGCAGAGCCCAGGCAGATGCCTGGTTCCAGTTAATTTTCATTCTGAGAGGGATTGGATCTATACTAGAGCTGCATTAAGTAACTGTCTATTGAACGTTGGACTGCTTTTCCACTGGGCAGTTTGGTTTTTTTGTAGAGATTTCAGTCTGCAGCATCCTTTTCACTGCTCAGGGAAAAACTTAATGCAATGCTTCTACAGCAGCCATCTCTACCAAGGACACTCAGGAGCTCTGCACCACTGTGAGGGCTGAGAATGCAGCCATGAAATTCTCTGCTCTCTTTTATTTTACAGGAGGGGAAATAATTGTGAAAGAAATCAATGGGAAGGTGTTCCTGCATTGTCAAACAAGCAAAGAAGAGCAAAAAAACCACATTGTATGGAAGAAAGGCGAATATCCTTTAGGAAACATGACACAGCTGGACTTGGGTGCAATTTACGACGATCCCAGAGGCGTCTATACATGTTCACTGGGTGGCAACGATAAACCGTCCACTCTCCAGGTGCACTATCGAAGTGAGTGTTTGAAGCTCAATTTCTAGAGCCAGGACTGCTCTAGAGTTTTCACATAAGCCGGTTTTTAAGCGAAATACTGATTTCCCAGAGCCTGAGGGTGGTTCCATTCCTGCCTGTGCTGTGGCTTGCTATTCCAGGATGGCTAGCTCAGAGTGCTGGGCACACATGACAGCTTGTGCCCCTGGGTTGGGTCACGCAGGCAAACCAAGCTTAATCTCTGGTCTCCGCTGTCCTGAGAATAGAACCTGCCTGAGCTGGCAGAGCAATCTGGGCTCAGATCAACCCAGGAGGCAGAATAGAGACAGCCACTAGAGTTGGAGGCCAGGGGCAAGTTCCCGGTACTGATCTTGTTCTCAGTCTTTGTGTTCTTTGTGTTTCCAGTGTGCCAGAATTGCATTGAAGTGGACGCTCCCACCATCTCAGGGATCGTGGTCGCAGATGTTGTCGCCACTGTCTTCCTGGCAATTGCTGTGTATTGCATCAGCGGGCAAGAGAAGGGCCGCATGTCACGAGGTGAGGGGAGAGCCTGCTCATGGGTGGGGGCAGGAAGTGCCTGGGGGCCTGGGCATCTCTGGGGCTGCATGGTACCTGGGGACTTCCATCACTGCCATGTATCTCAGTAAGTGTGACACAGGCACTAGCCAGCAGCCAGCTTGTCCAGGGCAGCCCTGGGAGGGATCACTCCGTGTACCCTTTATGCCCCTAGCTTAGCTTCTTGAGAGAAGCCATCAATCATACAAAGCTGTCCAAAACATCATCCCCAGGACGGCAGCTTTCTGCCATATCTACCAGAGGAAGTCAAAACAGCCAGCTACTTGGGTTTGTTTGCAAATGTTCACCACATTGCCCATGGTTCCTCCTGATCTTTGACCACAGTCTTTCTTTATTTAGCTTCTGACAGGCAGAACCTGATAGCCAATGATCAGCTCTACCAGGTGAGCATGCACGTACATGTGTGTGTGTTTTTGTGTGCATTTATAGGTGTCAGCAGCTCCATTTGGCTGGAATGACATGGCCATGGTGGCACAGCTGCTGGGGAGGCGTGGTGTGGTGCTGTCACTCTGCTGGGAGGTTCACAGCGGCTTCCCCCTGAGTGACCTATAGGACGGTGCAGGCTCAGCTGCCCTCTGCCCTCTCTGGGGTTGTTAAGCTTGAGGGGGGTGGAGGGAGCTTGCCAAAAGCTTGGCAAAGGGGAGACTTGGCTCCGCAAGGCTGGGCAGGCACAGTTGTAACCTGCCTTGCCTTTTCTCCTCCCAAGCCCCTTGGTGAGCGGAACGATGGACAGTACAGCCAGCTGGCAACTGCCAAGGCCCGCAAGTGAAGCAGGAAAGCACTGGCGCCAGTGGCTCCTTCACACGACGAAACCGTAGCCAGTGCCAAAGAGCACCAGCACCCTGCCCTGGCGCTGCTTTGTGAACTTACTGCTGGCAGAAGACAGTGCGGGTTTTTGCCTGGAGAGCCCTCCAGCTCCCTGCCAGGACGGGCTGCTTGCAGCGCTCTGCTCTCTCCGTGATGCATTGCATTTCTGTATTCCTCTCATTAAAGATGATCTTATTCTATGGCCTCCTGTTCTATCAGTTGTGTTAAGGCCTGGGGAGCCATGCAGTCACTGGCTGTGATCTGCTGGATCCCTGCAGAGCTGTGAGGTTTCTGCCTGCTCTAATAGCACACTGTTCTGCCAGTGCAGGCAGGCATCCAAGCTGTGCCACCCCTTTGTGCCCGGATCCAAATGGCATCCAGACCCACTGCTGAAGCTGAAGTGTGGGGACTTTGTGAAGGGAGAAGCTTGCTGCTCCTGACTCATTTAGCTCCACGCTGGGGATCAGGGCCAACAGTATGGTTCACAACACCACTCAGCAGAGCTGACTTGTAGGATGACTGGCCAAAATTGGAGGCTGATTGCAACCAGCACCAAGTAGCAGTTTGAAACCTCAGAAACCAGGTCATCTCCTATGTGCCAGCTGCACACACCTGTAAGTTTTGTTTTTCTCCTTTTCTAAGAATCTGTGTGCTAAGAATCTAAGGCTTTAGAGAGCAGTAGGCTACAAATCGACTTGTGACTCAATGGTTTCATGCAAGTACCAAAAGGGTTCACGCTCAATACACAGTTTCACAGTCAGTGACCTCCAATCTGGCATTTGTGGCACAGATAACAGCTTACAGGCTGTGCAAAGCTGTGGGTGCAGCCTTACAGACTGAACAACAAAGTGACCCATTTTCCTTTGATGTCAGCTGTTTGTACAATATTTTGCTCTTCACATCTTAGTGGCTTTTCCCCTCCAAACTGCTCTGGTGAAGGGTGAGACTGATATGGCAATCACAGGTAGAATATACCAATGTCCTCTTTCCATCTACAAAGCCATCAGCGTGAGCCTTACCAAACAAAGTGACTGGCAGATTGACTGCTTCACAATGCTTTCATCACCATCAGATGTCACATATAGCAAAGGCTTCTATCCACACCCAAACAGCAGGAGAAACCCATGGCGTGGTGGGCATGCTCTGCACAAATCAGAGAGAGAGCAGGAACGGCATTGCCAGCTAGTCTGTTTGTGGGAGGCTGCTCAGCACCTCGCCCTTGGCAAGATGCAGAAATGCTTCTGTGGCACTGCTAAGCGCGGAGAGATGCTGTCACTGGATTTGTGCTGATTGCACTGAGATAAGGAGAAAGTGGGGTGGCTGAGGCAAACACGGGGCAAACATGCAGCCCCCAGATGGTCGATGCACCAGGGCAGCTCAAAGCAAAATTTAGTTGTGCTTCTCATATTCCACCTGTGGCCGTGGTCCGAATGGCTGGGCCAGGTAAGCTTCCTTGGGGCAGTGCTGATATGCTGGGGATGAGAACGTGACCCAAAGTGGTTTCAGAGCAGCTGTGGATTAGTGCTGGCTGGGTCTTGCAATCTCTCTCTTAGATATTTAGAGCTTTGTTTGGTAAAGCCCGCTGTACTGCTTTTAAAACCACATCCTGCAGGGTATGTACAGCAGTCTGAAGCACAATCCTCGCCAGGGTGTTCATCCCTTGTGCTAAAACTCAAGCTAAACCACCCACAACCCCCACCACTGCTGCTGTTTCCTCTCTTCTGAGCTGTTGCTCTGCAGAGCAACAGAAATGTGGCTCGCTGAGCCAGTCTTAAGCCAGAAATGTTTCCACACATCAAAGCACCTCTTGGGCCTTTCTCCTTTCGTTTCTACCAGCCCCACCGTGCTGTTTTTCAGATCACTCAGTTGAGAATTGCTGCGTTGAGTGTTTGGGGCCTCAGCTATTTCTCTTGCCCCCCAAAAGCACACCCAGTCCCATTCCAGCTCCTCTTCATACCTGCCCTGCTCTGAGGCTCAGCTCTCCAAGGCATGGCAGTGCATTTCTGTGTGTGCAGGTCTCTCCCCCCAGAGCCACAGAAGCACAGTCTCAGTCTATTCCTGAGCTGGGAACTCAACACAAAATCTTTTTCCTTAATGGAAGTAAAAAAAAAAAAAGAAGACACAAGAAGGCACAAGAAATCTTTTCTGCTACATATCTGGGGATGTTGGCTCTCATTTTATTAATATATTACAATTTTGAAATGTATATTAAAAAAAAAAAAGCTAAAATAGACTTTTACCAATGGTGAAGTAGTCTGACATCTTTCTAATAGAACCCAAGCAGAGCTCAAGTGCCAGAACTGAAATGGAGAGGAAAAGGGAAGCAATAAAGGATAGATCACAAGAAGCTCTATGCAGCAATAGCTCTGGTAAGTGAAACAGCAAATGCTTCTTGGGCAGCAAATGCACTTGGGCAGCCTTTAGGGTGCAGCCCACTCAAATAGATGTTTTTATCACACATGACAACACAAAATATCAGTAAAAATGGAAGGACAGGTTCACAGAAGAGTTCGATGCTGTCCTGGATTTGTGTTGAGGCCACTATCTCTATGGCCCCAACACATTCTTTTCAATTCCAGCTGTTGCAGAATGGAGTGCTGGTGCTGGGGCTGAACCCAAGGATCTCAGTTTCAATGTGGGAACACAAAAATCCCTGGCATGCTGTTTCAGTCAAACTGAAAACGTGGTACTCATTTCTAAGTGGGAGTCAAATCTAATCTAATCTGAAATGCCTAAGAGCCCCATAATTTAACAGTAACAAAAATCTCACACTCAGCCAACCATTTTAATTTCCCAGTAGGCTTTCAGGTGACTTGGGAAAGTGCCCAATTCCCATCTAACCCTTATGGGATGTTTTAATGAAGATGTGAGACATAAAGGTACCCAGATGCAAAGGGCACTCAGCCCTACTCATTTCCCACAGAAGGGCAATGGGTTGGATGGCCCTATCTGCATGTACTGGTAGCAATTTGTCTCTTTTAGAGAAGGACAGCATTAGAGGCCAATCCCTTTGAGAAGAACCCTCATTTCATGCACCAGCTACCCAGGGAGGAAAGGGCAGCAAGTGGCAGGCAATTGGGACAGAAAATGAAATTGGAGGGGAAGTCAGAGCATGCAACTGAAGCAGAGAGAGAAAGGGGGCGAAGGAGATTAGAAATGATGAGTGATGCTCCAGGCCTTTAGTGAGAGGGAAAACTTCTCTGCCAATGGGCTCAGATTTCTTAGCCCTAATGTCAAACTGAAGGAACACCATGGGGTGGAACAGCATAGGGCAGCAGGACGCCTGTCCTGTCCAGCTGTCGGCTGACCTCAAGGCACCTGGTCTCAGCGGGTCTGCAGAGAGCCAGCAGCAAGCTAGCCAGAAGCACTCAGCTCTTCTGCCTCTGTTTTCCATCCAGCCTGGTACCTGGGGGAATTTCAGAAGCCCCTGTGTTCCAGGCCTGCGTACACTTCTCGCTGGCCTTTCCTGATGGGCTGTGGGAACAGATGAGATGTTAGTTCAGGAATCCTTCTTAATACACTTTCCAAGCTCTTAGTCCATAAAGTACTCAGAGAAAACCACAACAGAGAGACCAGGAACAGAGTGATGCTTTGGCAACGAGCAGCCTGCAGGAAACTGCATTTCTGCTCCTGACTCCCTGTGTCATCAGAGAAAAGGTCCTCCACCCTCCCCTCCATTTTCCTCCACACCCTGCAGAGCTTGGAGGTGGACTGGATGTTACATCAAAGGAGAAAAATAGGACAAATGCTACAGATCCCCAGCTCTGGCTATCCCTCCCCAGCCAGCAAAGAGAAGTGGAAAAAGTGCAGGTTGTCCATACCTCGTAGTCTGGGTTTGGAACAGGGGGAGGACGTTGCATCTTCTGAGCTGCAACAGAGGCAAAGAGGGGTCATCCATGGTGATGGTTCTTCTAACACAGCATGAGGGGCTTTCACAGAGATGATCCCAGGGTAACACGGACCATGGGTAAACTCATGTGACTTTGTTGTGAGCTCAGAGCTCTTAAAGATCCAACTGCTGCAGCTCTGAGGTCTTACAATCATTTAGGAGGAAATCAGCTTTCTTTTTCAAGAAGAAAGCATGAGGGCCCCGTGACCACAGGCGTCTGCCCCACAGATGGGTACCAGATCTACACCCTTCTGGCCTGGGAAGCTGAATAGATGAGAACACATTGCATTGCATTTGAACCCATCACTCAGCAGGGTGATCAGCACACAACAGGGGATTTCAATCTGCTGAAAGATTTCTGTCAGCTTTGTGGGCGCTATTGGAAAAGTGGCGACATCTGATCTGCACAAAGCCAGAGTGGTCAGCACAGGGAGCCCCCTGATACAAATATCACCATTGACACTTCTTGAACAATTCCAAAGTGGCATCATGAGGTCACAACCCCTCATCACTTTACTCTAGCATTTATTATCCATCAGCCCCACTGCTGGACCCACTGGGCCACCAAAACAAGCCCTCAGAAGCCAGAAATTTGAATTTAGTGTTTCAGTAAGTTGTGATGCATCTACTGCATGAGTTCCTGATTCTGGATCTTTGAATGCCTGGGACAGATGCGGTGTTTGCTTCCTCACAGACTCAATGCTGCTTCACAGCAGCCTGTGAAATGGTTTCCTATGAGCAAGAAGCCTCTGTCACAACGTGGCAGCCCATACAGAAGTCAGTTCAGAGCATCAGATGTGGCATCAGGAGTGGGGGCTGGCCAGGCTCTGGGGGCCCTGTGGGATGCAGGGGGTGCTCCATCCACCAGCAAGGACAAGAGCTTAGTTTGGCACGCAGGGCACACTGCGGAGAGCAGACATCTGAAATGGCTCTTACCTCGTGGCCGACTGCCAGCTGCAGCTCTCGACTGCCCCTTCTTGTTTTTGCTGAAGTAATGGACCAAAATCAGAACCCCCAAGGTGATGAGGAGATCCGCGATGATGATCCCTGTCACAGTCAAGGTATCCAGCTCCTCACAGTTTGTGCACACTGCCAGGAGGGAATACAGGAGTGCTCTTAGCCAGGCAAGCTTCCTTTGCAGCAGTGGTGAAAGGGAAAGGCCACGTATCCAAAGGGTTAGTCAAATGCTTTCTGTTCATTATGTTCATGTTTGTTACTCACCCACTTCATGCTAGCAGAAAAGATACAGCTTGGGGTGAGAAGGAGCAAAGAGCAAACAGAAAGGAAAGAGGAAGGCATGGGCCATTCTATCCCCGCTCCATTTCAGTCTTCAAAGAGTCCTAGGGGCTGATGTGAGTACCATCTATACTCTGCTGTTCTGCACTGCCTGCAATGTAAATCATCTCCTAGATCATTATTGCTCTTCTCGTGCTGATCTGACTTTAACCTCTCCCTACCTATGCTGAATTCTACACAGTGAATGCCCAAAGTGCCTCTGCAGAACAGCATTCACTCAGCCCATCTCAACATCCACCTCCGAAAGGTGTTTGCTTTATCTTTAGTCCATGCAGGTTCTCACAGACTGAGTGCTTTTTCACTCACCTTTGGCATTCAGGTACATTGCGTGCTTTTTACCGCCGTCTTCACAAGACAGAGTGAGAGGAGAGCTGTCATGATTCTCTATAATGTACTTATTGCCGTCTGTTTTTATCCCATCTGGCTTCCAATTTATTTTGTTTCCAGAGAAGGGACATGTGATTGTCACTGTGGTTCCAGAAATCTCCACTGTGAATTCGTTTTGGTCTTAGGGCCAATGAGAAGAGAAACCATAATTACAAGGAGATTCTGGCAAGCTTCCCCCCCCCCCCCCCCCACGATCCCACCCCATTTGCTCTGCTCTATCTTTAATCTAATTATAGAATGTAAATTCCCTGTGCATGCAAGCGTGTTTTCTTTAGGTTTTCACACCGACCACTTTGCAATGCTAAGCAGAAATCATCACAAGGTGTCATCACAGAATATTCAACTTTATGTCGGACAGTGTGGCCACACACCACTGCTACTTCAATTTTTTTAATTAGTTATGAGTACCAGTAAAATACACTTACCCTCCTGAGCTGCTGCACCAACTACAAAAGAAAGAATAACACGTGTTAATCAGATCTTGATATTATATGCTTCTCCTACTTTAAGGATCTCCTTTCTGAATTCAGCTGCTTGAGAAACATCTTCACACTCCTATTGGTGCTAAATTAGATTCTGTTGGCTAAGACAGGATGTTGTTTTGCAGTGAAGCTCCTTTCTTTGGAAGCCATTTTAAACAGACTACGACTGAACAGAGGTTGGAATGACTTTTAGAGCCTGCTTAGAAAACGGTTTCTTGCAAGGTTTCTCAGCAATTCTGCTTTATTGCCATGGATCGAAGATCAGTGCTGCTCAGTTTGACATGGAAAAGGCTGCTGTTCCCAAGATAGCAGTGGATCAGTACACAGAGTGGAAGCTATCACACGATCACAAAATGGTTCAGAAAATGCGTGGATAAAGTGTAAGAATGAAATAAGAATTTGAAGGCCCTTACAGTTCACAGAGGAGGTAGTGCCTCATCCTCCAGCTCTCAGCTTCACCCACTCTGCTGCCTAAATTTTGGAGATCGCGTGCTTTAGCGGATCAGTGAGCGAGCAGAAACTGAGTGGGGAGCCAAGGCTGAAAGGGTTGGATCCTCATTTTGCCCTCTGAGAGGAACGCTCCCTCTGGAAGGCAGCAGCTGCACACACCAATTTCAGGAGATGTGGCTGCAGGGACCAAAGCAGCCGTGCTGCCACGCATTGCTGCCCCTGGAGCCCCTTCCCGTCCCTCCGGGAGCCCATCCAGCTCCACTCACCCACACACAGCAGGAGGCCCAGGAGGGGCAGCGGCACCTCACGCCTCATCCTCGTGCTCCTCCTTCTCTGGCTCTTCTCTATCGTTCCCGATCAGATTGGCATCACTGCAGCTGGCTGCGAAGGAAGAAAGAACACGTTGGCTCTTCAAGTTCTTGCTTACAAGAAAGAGGCCCAAGAGTTTTTCCCAGAACTGTGCATGGCAGCGAATGGAGCCGTGCCAAGGAGACTCACTGTTTCCAGTGAAACCTGCAAGCAGCCCAGAAAGACACAAAGCACATGTGATGAGAAAAACTTCTCAGGAAGTGCGGAGGCTCAGCATGTCTTCAAATAACGTCACTGACAGCAAGGGGTGGCTGCTCTGCACCAGCCCGGTTGGAGACCTGCTGTAACTCAGCAGCAGGAGGCATTCACAAGCCTGTGTTAGATTTACCTTCAGGACCTTCTTAAGAACTTTTCAATGTATTACTGAAGTTCAAACTTCTGCAAGCAGCCTAACGTACTGAGGGAATAAACAGAGGAATCAGAAATCATACAATGATGTGGATTGGAAGGGACCCTAAAGATCTCCTAATTCCAACCCCTTGCTGTGGGCAGGAACATCTCCCACCAGCCCGCGTTGCCCACAGCCCCATCCGTGGCCTTGGGCGCCTCCAGGGATGGGGCACCCGCAGCCTTTCTGGGCAGCAGTGCCAGAGCCTCACCGCCCTCATGGAGAATTTCTAACTGATATCCCGTCCAAATCTCCCCTCTTCTACTCACAGCCATTACCCCTTGCCCTGTTACTACACTCATAAAAGCGCGTTGACTTTTGAAAGACTTTCTATGACTCTGGGGATCACGTACCAGAACAAAAGCGGCCAGATTCCACTAGAGGGGGCTCCAGCCCCTCCGACACACGCTGCTCTCACCCCCGCCCTCCCCTGCCCTCACTGCACAGCACAGAAGGGAACTTTCTCCTTCCCAACCCAGAGATTCCCATAGGGCTGGGGCCGTCCCAGGCGCTGCTCCCGCGGGGATGCAGACACGCAGAACGCACCATCCTTCTGTTTTCCTGTGCTTGAAATGTGGCACAGCTGCTCCTACAAAGGCACAAAGACGTTTTTAGGATTTTTTAGGGTACCTGTCCAAAACAGACAGTGCAAAACCAGACAAAGCTTCCTCCTTCCACAAGATTGCACTTTGTTCCTAAGTCTGCCATTCAGATCTCAAGGCTCTCCTTTCTGGAAGCTGGCTTCATGCTCCTTGTGAAGAGCTTACTTATTTACATGGCTAATCACAACGCTGGGGCTTTTGTTCCATTTATTGAGCTGCTCCCGTTAGCTGTCAGCCCTTTCTTTACTAATTTCTGTTTCAAAATGAGAAATTTGCATTATTAATAATGGTGCCTGGAACTTGGTTCTCTTAACGGTTGGAGTCAGTATGTTTTGAAACAAGAAGTTGAATGTTAGTGAAAGATTGCAAATAAAGACCGGCGCAGACCTCCCTCCCCAGTGCTGTGCATTACACAAATGTGGCCATGAAAGCCAGTACTGTTGCTCAGTGGCCAAAGGGCAGTAAATGGAGGAAGGACACTTTTCCTATTGGAATCTGCATGGGTTGCCTGAGGATAAGTTGCTGCTATGCAGGACGGAGTTAAGAGTTGCCAGCCTGGTCTGTGGGAAGACGTGGAGCTGATGTGACGCCTTGTCGTAATGAGGCACAACAAAGCACAGAGTCTTAAATTGAAAATTCCTACAGCTTGACTTCTGGATGAGCCGATTACCTGTAACATAGGTGCAGATCCACGTGCTGCTGGGGATGCCCCAGGCTTTCAGTGATCAGCATGGAATCGGTGACATCTTATTGCAGGGAAGGCCACGAACACCTTTCAAAAACCAGCCCAGCAAGCCTCTGTGAGCCAAAACCAAATGACAGGCTGAGAAAGGAGCTGTGGAGTCTTGCTGCTCTAACCACACAATTGTGCTTCTGCCTGAACATGTGTGAGGGAAAGCTGCATAGCTGGATCCACTAGGCTCTGCAAATCTAAAGAGGAAATCTGGCTTGATAGTCTAGAAAACATGAGTTAACGTTGAACATTTTGGTGCCTTCTAAGCATGAGTTGCAAGTTATATATCCTGGAAGCAGGGTGTATCTGAAGTTCCTCTGCACTGAGGAAAGGCAGGTGAGCCCCAAACACTCACTCTGAAACCGCTGCAATGACAGCAGTTCAGCTTCTTCCAAATCGAGAAAGACTGGACCTGTCTCTCACCTGAGGAAAGAATCCAGTGGTTAAAAATAAGAGCCTGTGCCAACACTCTTCAAGTTCAGACCTGAGACAATGTAAGTGAGTAGCAATTAACTCTCCCAGGACTGTAAGAGACCTGCAAGCCAGGCAATGCTACAGAACTATCAACCATAGCAAGAGCTTACCCTTCCAGCATACCCTATTTGAATGCACTGAATATAACGTGCTCAGATGGTGCATACACTGCGAGCTCAATGCTCTGAGATACATCAGTGGTACAAGTGCTAAACGCCTCATTCCTGCTTTGGCACCACTGCAAAGGCAATTAGCACCACTCACAACGAAAGTTCATAACCTGGGATGGCTGCTTTGGAAGCTGGCCAAGGATCAGACACAAGCCGAGTCGCGGCCAGTAGCAACTTAAATGCTTTCCTGTGATTTATGATCTCTGAATGCAAACACCGTGCTATGGCTAACGCTCATGCACAACTCAGTTTCGTGCTCTCACGTGCCACTGGGAAAACGTTTTGTGTCTCACTGAGTTTCTCCAGCCCCTCGTGCCATGTTGTTAAGCGTGGTGGGGCTTTCCAAGCAGTGCCTGGGCCAGCACTGGCTTTGACTCATGTCTGAGGCTGTTGTCTTCTGACTTTTCCAGGAACTTCACACATGAGATAATGGTGTTTCCCAATTCTTCCACAGGACAGCTGCAACAAAAAGCAGAGTGGTCGCCTCTCTTCACTGCAGGTACCTGTGTTTCAGCAGGACCCCTCCACAGTCTGAGTGCATGCCCACAGTGCTGCCACAGGCTGGCTGTTCTGTTATCTTTTGGGGTTTTTTTTTGGTACTGTTTGCAGCTTTTCAATCAGACAAATAGACTGAATTCCTTCAGGCTATCTCTACACATCTCAAGGCAAATCGATGTTTAGGTGCAAAATGCCGTCCCACAGGAGGGGAGTGGTTTCAAGTGGAAGCTGGGAGGAGGGATGATTGCAACACAAACGAGCAAGGGAATATGGGAGGCAGAAGAAATTAATCTTACCTTGAAAATCTGCCTGCTTTACACACCGAAGTGAGCTGTCTGAGTGCCGCACCTATCCTTCAGTGCGGGGCAGTGACTCAAGCAGGAAGACGTGTTCAGGTTGCTGCCTGGCCAAGCTGAGAGAAAAGAATTCGCTCAACCGTCCCAGGAAGGCTTTGAGAAACTCGTCTCTTATCCAGTTATCGAGAGCCTGAAACAAACTTCTCCCTGTGCTGCTCAGCCCGCAGAGCACGGCCTTGTGTTCCCGATGCCTAGCCCCAGCTGGCTGGGGGCTGTGCTCATCCTTGGGGTACAGCTCCGAGGTAAGGAAGCCTGACATCGCCTGGCCTCTGTTGCCATCTTGACTTTCCTCTTCTCATCCCTTAATTATCATCCTCATTAAGGCAGCGACTTTACAGGAGTCTCAGATGCTGGCTGTGGATGATTGCTGTGATTCTTTTGGTCCCGGGTTCGCTTGCGAGTGACACGGAGTGATTGAATGTCTGCGACAAACAGGCTCAGGTGTGCTGGGGTGGAGGAAGAACACTGGTCTCATTCTGAGCTCTGGTTACACGTCTTTTCCCCTCCTGCCTCAGTCTTTGATCTTACCAGCAATCCGGACTCAGGTGTTTTTTCACTGTCTTTGTTACCGGACAGCGGTGCTGTTTGGGTCCCTTAGGCAGCAATAAATAACGACGGCAAAAAAGTCACTTCAATTGTCAGTGGTTGATATCAGTGTAACCAGAATCAAAATTCAATCTGGGAACACGTCCTCCTTGTGAGAAGTTTGGGAACACAGATACTCTCAGTCATCTGCCTCATTAAATAATGTGTGTTTTACCCATAGTCACAGTTGTTCTTTTTAAGAAGTTTGGAGTGAAAACAGGGAAATTCAATGTGGGATCTTTGGGAGAGAGTTGTGATCTCAGCCAGTGAAGTTTTGAAATCCGATCTCCTTCGGTGTTTTGGTATTTCAAATATTTTCTCCTCTGAGAAAAGAAATTCTTTAGCTATAAATTGTATTCAAACACAGGAGCATTAATTGTCTTTGCTGTGACAACCCCTGATAAGCTCCTTTTCCTTGAGTCATACTGAGTGGGTTATATCACTTTCCCGATGTGACAGAAAAGCATTCATGCTTTCTTTTTCTGCTCTGTAAGGATTTTTTCTTTCTTTCCTTTTACCAGTGGAAATTGACTCATTAACCCAGAGGACTGTGCTGGCCGGTTCAGAGGTCTGAAGCAGTGAGGGAAGCAATAACGTGATCAAGGGGAAAAAGGGGGAAATGAGAGCATCTTCTCCCTGGGTCTTTTGTGGTCCTCTGCCTTGATGTTAGCTTATTTTTAAGCAGCAGCCTGGTGGTTTTCTTAAGAGGATGTTTGTTTGACAAACAAATGTTTGCAGATTTACCTTGAGGATTTCCTGTGTAGATTTTCAACCTGCTTTGCCTATAATTGTCTGGTGGGGTTATGAACCTCCTCAACAGACTGCTCTGACACGAGTAAAAGCAGTGTTCACTGCAGTGTGCATGACACTCAAAGTAACACAAAGCGAGCAGAAGAAGTTCAGGGGTGGGAGGTGGTAACCGTTCATAGATGCTTAGCAGTGCTACTTTAAGGAACAGAGCTGCTTTTCTGAAGAAATCTGCCTGGGGAATTGAGTACAATAAGGTGTAATCACCTGTGATAATGTGACCAGGACAAGCACATGAAGTTATGTGACATCTCTTGTGCCTGTCAGATACAAGCTTATGCAACGAGAGGGCTGGCATTTCCAGCAGCATTGCACCTCCTAGGTGTCGTTTGCTCATGCCTGAAAAGAGACGTTTCCTTAACAAAACAAACCAGTGTCTTTTCCTGCAGGCGAGTCCCTCTCAGAGGTCCCTTCTCCACTCGTAATTCGATCTGTCAGTATCGCACTGCAGTCACAAAGCTACAAAGGAGCCATTGTCCTGGCAATGCGGATGAAAGCAAACTCCCTTGAAAGCAGCAGGGTGCAGCTCACATCTCACCTACAAAAGCCATGAAGCACATGGGATCTTTTGGATTCTGTATACACAGGACTACCACAGTCAGTAATTAAACCGGTGTGCTTTTAATTGTCAGGTTAA